GGCGTCGGGTTCGTTTGAATAGGTGGCGACAAACCGGAGGAGTTGGGCGCGGGCGGTTTCCGTAGCCACGCGTGGGCCAGACGCCCGCGGCTTTGCTTTATTCCCCGCCGAGCCCCGTGGAATTTGCCTTTCGCGTCTCTTGCGGGCGTCAGCGTAGCCTGCTGTTCCCGCTGTTCGCTGCCCGGGGCTTGAGCCCGTTCTCTCGTTAGAGAAAAAGGGTTTTTAAACGGTAGACTAGTAATCAGACCTCCGATAACGTTCCCCGTTGATTCTTCAGAAACGGCCGATCTAATTCCTTGTGCCTAATGATGCTCCACTACTCCTTGAAAAACGGGAAGTGTTTATTTCTTGTAACACTTTGTTTTCCTGTCATGCATTCCGCAGAGGAATCTGAGCGCTCCTTTAGCTGGCTTGGGTTTCACATCAGGGTTAGAAACGCTGAGAACGATCATCAGTGCTGTCCTCATGTGTGCCCTGCAGAGCGAAATATAGGGCAAAATAGCTCTTTAGCTGCTTGTTTCTCCGCGTTGCTGTGTTCTTTTCTCTCTTTGTTTCTGGTTGGTACCAGCCAGCACTGACGTGCAGCTGATGACATCGCCCAGCAGCTGTACTGGGTTTATCAGTGTCTGTCTTATGCTAGCAGAGCCAACTGGGTATCTCTTGCCCATGGCGTATTCGAAACTGAAGTTTCCCGAATGCATCTCTGAAATTCAGTGTGTTACGGTACTAGATGTTTTGCGGTTAGTGCTCCATCTGCAGAAGTGGTGTGGTCTGGAGGGGAGATCATGGGGCTGAGATGGTCGTGTGCTGCAGTTGAACAGCTGGAAACTTTGCTACTTCAGGTTTCATTTCAGTGTTGCAATACTGATAGTTCCTTAGCAGCAGTTGGACTAAGTCACAGCAGATAAGATTAGACATTCCCTTTCCTGCACAAATGTTCCGTGCTCATCACTTTGTTGGCTGGGTCCTTGCAAAAACATACCAATTGCTGATACGTGTTTTCTCTTTCTTATGTGTTTCTAGAGCCCTGTTGCTACCCACAAAGGCCATGGAGAAAAAGTTGGAAGTCAAGTTCAGCATCGGCAATCGGTTTTTATCACAATACTGCCTGGGAAAACCTGCGAGGCATCTGGGAAGTCTGCACCTGTTCTACTTATGTGCTTGCCTGTGTGCCTTGTGCTCCTCAACAGGTGACTTTTCTGTTCTCCCTGGGACTGTATCTCTATTTTTATTTATATTTATCCTTCTTATTTAATAAAAATATTCAGAAAAGAAGGTGAAATTATTAGCTGTTAGGCAGAGTAGCTGGTAAAATAATCTTGACAGTTTGTTACTGAATAAGCTATCAAAAAGGTAGTGTATCCAAAACACTAGGTAGTGAAGAGATGAGGGGACTTTTTATAACACTGTATCATTCTAATAGCCATCTGCTATTGTGAATGCAAAGTAGCCAGCACCAGTGTGTCTGCAGTAAAGTGTCCGTCTGTTCCATACAGCTAATGTTGGGGTTCTTCGTGCTTCGTGTTTGCTCTCAGGCATTTGCCTGCATTGCATAAAGCTCAGCTGAGAATCTGTTTTCTTTTTTTTTTTTTTTTTGCAAAAGGAATAAGCGATATTCTGGGAAAATAATTTCATCTAAGGAATACTTGAACTTGTTTGAGAAGCCAAGAGTGTTTTCCAGCAGTCTAATATTAAAGACTTCCCCACAAACACAGTGTATCAATAATCTGAATTTACCTACGCATAATTGTTGTGCTTGGTATTTATTTCCTGTCCAAATTTGAGCAACCATCCTCCTGCCCAAGTAAATAACCAGATTGGTGACTTGTATGGACATTTTCATATGATGGATTTTTTTTTTGTTTCTTTTTGGTTTTGTATTAAAAAGGTTCAGAGTCTGACTTTTCAGACAGAAGTGTTAAGTTCCTGTGAGTGCTTTTGGGGCCAAATATTTACGAAGATGATGATGTGTTCTTCCCGTGTGTGTACCTAGCACTTACCAAATGTTAGTGAAGATAAGAAAGTTTATACTGTGTGTTTTGGTTTTGTTCAAATTGTGGTGAACTATAGGTTTGAGACAGTGGTGACTTCGATATATAATTAACCTGTGTGACAGCTGCCGACTGCTTTGACCTTGCTGGAAGGTTGCCACATCTTAATGTTAGCATGATATGAAAAGCAGATTTTACTTTATTTTTCCTTTTTTTTTTTCCTATTCTTTTCTCTCCATGGGTGGATGTGTTGTAGGCTGCTACAGAGTCCCTGTTTCACTGGGCTTTCCTGGATACTTACCAAGTGGTAGATTTGATTAAGCTAATCAGTTGTGTGACCTTAATCTACTGATTTAGAACCTGGAAAGATGCATTTATATTTCTGTTCTTAGCAAAGTGTGCTCGGTACTTAGTGTTTTGTTGGTGTATCTGATGGATTGCGTGTTTCCTTGTGAACTGGACTTCCTGCTTAGTGTTTCCTGTCTTTAGTAATATTTCAGAAGCCTAGAGCAAGAGCTGCAGATCATATGTTGTGCTAACAGGGTGTTCCATACAGCGCTACAGCATTTGAGGGCTTGTATACTTGGGAGAGTTAGAACCGTGGAGGCTGATGTGTGTATAGAAACAAATATAATTATTTGTGACATAGCTCTGCTTACGTGGATCTTTTTCCACGCTGGAGTCCATGTTCTTTTGGTTTTTATCTGAGTCACTTATCCAGCAGAGTTAAACTGAAGAGGAATCATGGTTATTTAGAAATCGGTGCGATCATGCAGACTTACATAAGAGGAACTATATTGACATAATTGGTTGCACGTAACAGATTAGAAAAAGCCTATACAGTCGAGCCTTTAATCATTAATGCCTATTGATATCAGATTAACTGCCAAAATAAGCTTGTGAACCTGAGCTCATTCATAGAAACTGTACTTAACCCTTTCC